CAGTTCTCTGACAGCTCCTTCACATTACAGCGGTTGAAACATCTGTTTCCGAATAAAAACATCTGTATCCTAAATGGAAACAAAATAGATACAATGTTTCAACCGCTGTACATGTGTTCCTTCTGTCAGAGAACTGTCAGAAATAGCGGAGCTCTCTGCAGGGACACTTTTGCCGGCTGATCGGGAAAAAAATCCGATTCGCGCACCCGAAGTAGGCAAATATTCGGATTCGACGCGAAACAAATTTTTCCTGAAATTCGTATCGAATTCCGGTTCGCCTGGTTCGATTCGCTCATCTCTAGTGGGAAGCCTCACTTTTGTCATTCACTGCGTGTGGTGCTAGTAATATGGTGTCATTTCACAGCCTACTGAGATTCAAAACAGGCAAATTATTGGTGCCAGCTTAGCTGGTGCCTGTGTGACTGAAGTCACCAATTTATTTGCTTACCGTCTACAGTATATCAAAGGTTATGATGACATACAGTTTCTGGGAAAATGTCATCTATAAACATAAAACGCAGTCATCATGGTCAACTGACCAAAACAGACAAAAGTCTACTGTGAAGACTAATCACAATCATGCACAATGTCCTTTTGTCTCTTTGTGATCAGTCTTCACAGGATTGAGCTTGAGCTCTGTAAGCACTTTTTTCTTATTCCGGGTCACAATCCTGCACAATGTCCTTTTGTCTGTTTCGGACGGTTGTCAACCGCACTTATGCTTTTCAGAAACATTTTCCTGGAAACTGTATATGCTGTCATAACCTTTTGTCTGGCAGTACTAGGGTCATTGGTTTGAATCCCATCCACAGCACCACCTGCCTGAAGTTTGCATGTTCTTGTGCCTGCGTGGGTTTTCCTCCGGGTACTCCAGTTTCCTCCCACATTCCAAAGACATGCTGGTTGTTTAATTGGATTCTGTCTAAAGTGGCCCTAATATGCGTATGTACGAATGTAAGTTAGGGACCTTAGATTGGACAAATACATTGGCAGCTTCAGTCACAGAGGCCTCAGCTAAGCAGACACCAACAATTTGCCCTCTTTAACCACTTCCTGTCCGGACACTTAACCCCTTCCTATCCAGGGCAATTTTCAGCTTTCAGGGCTATCACATTTTGAATGACAATTGCGCAGTCATGCAACACTGTACCCATATGAATTTTTTACAATTTTTTTGAGATGGATAAAGCTTTATTTTGGTGGTATTTTTATTTTTTTTGCTATGTAAATGGAAACGTCCAAAAATTTTGAAAAAAAAGTGTTTTTTCTTATAAAATTTTGCAAATAAATATTTCATCATAAATCTTGGCCACAATTTATTCTGTTATCTTTTTAGTAAAAAAAAAAAATAAGCCAAATTAGTTTATAACCAAAAATTATAATTTTTAAACATTTTTTATTTTATTTTTTTTTATATTATTTATTTTTTTTTTTTTTTACATACTGTCACCCTAGCAGTACAGTGTCACCATGGTGACACTGTACTACTTGTGGGGGGTGATGAAGACTTTTTTTTGTTTACACTGATTGGTTTTACACCCATATACAGTTGCAAGAAAAAGTATGTGAACCCCTTGGGATTATGTGGAGTTTTGCATGAATTGGGCATAAAATGTGCTCTGAACGTCATCTAAGTGACAACAATAGAAGGAACACAGTCTGCTGAACATAATACTACACAAACATTAGATGTTGCCATGGTTTAATTGCACATAACATGTAAACATTCACAGTGCAGGGAGGAAAAAGTATGTGAAACTTTGGACTTAACTGGTTGAGGTCAGGACTCTGACTGGGCCACTCCAGAAGGCGTGTTCTGTGCTGTTGCAGCCATTGTTTTGTTGAATTACTTGTATGCTTTGGGTCATTGTCCTGTTGCATCACCCATCCTCTGCGGAGCTTCAGTTGGCGGACAGATGGTCGTACGTTTTCCTGCAAAATGTCTTGATGAATTTTCAGAGTTTATTTTCCCATCAATGACAACAATCCGTCCAGGCCCTGAGGCAGCAAAACAGCCCCAAACCATGATGCTCCCTCCGCCATGTTTTACAGTGGGGATGAGGTTTTGATGTTGGTGTGCTGTGCCTTTTTTTCTCCACACAGTGTTGTGTGTTCTTCCCAAACAACTCAATCTTGGTTTCATCTGTCCACAGTATATTTTGCCAGTAGTGCTGTGGAACATCCAGGTGCTCTTTTGCAAACTTCAAACGTGCTGCAATATTCTTTTTGGACAGCAATGGCTTCCTCCATGGTGTCCTCCCATGTACTCCATTCTTGTTTAATGTTTTCCTTATTGTAGATGTGTCAACAAAAATGTTAGCATGTGCCAGAGATTTCTGTAGGCCAACGTTTAGAGTTTCACTGTGTCCGGATGACCCAGCGGGCACCGGATCGCGGTTTATAAATGGCCACCCGACCCTGCAGTGCCACCGTCCGGTCGTTTATATACAACGGCCGGACGGGAGGTGGTTAAAGCTCCGTAAGCTCTGACATGACTCCGTATTACAAGCAGCGCATGCAGTGTATGACGAAAGTGAGGCTTCCCACCAGTTAGCTAGGTGTCTCATCACACAGCGGAAGCAAGAGAATGTTACATCACTTCCGCTTTTAATGCGAAGCATGACATCACTTTCACTCCTGAAAACCATGTTTTGCCTAACCCCTGTATCGAAAATCAATTATCGCCATTAGGGAATATCTGATAAGATATATTTGCGCAACAAAAATAGTTCATGATTAAATAGCTTAAAATCAGTAATGCGTTTAAATTCATTAGTGCAGCAAGGAAAGTTAAGAATAACTAAGGTGGACATTTAGAACAGTTTTACACTTACTTGACGGATGGACATAGTACAAAGTATGTACAGGAATATAAATGAACAGTCTGTATAATCATCCCCCAGCAAATTTCTGTGAGACAATCCTTGAATATAGGAAAGAGGGACAAAGGGCAACTTTGCTACAACCCGTCCATCAAAACTGGAAAGAAATGTAAAAAATTAAAAATGGTCACCTTATTATGCATTACCATCTAGAAAGCACACACACACTTTTTTCTACAAATGAAAAGTCCTTAGATCTTTCTTTATAAATGTTTTCACATAAACATGCATACTTGAGATGCTTGAATGTACATGTTTATGTGACTAGAAAAGGAAGTAAGGCCGGACAGTATATACAGGGCATGTAGACATATTCTCCACTGGAGCCTGTGGTGTAAATCAGCAGGAGAAATGCAACGCCAATCAGCACACACTGGACAGATATGAAGCTCCTGCTCCAGTTCATCCACTTATCTAAGGGGGGGGGGGGGTAAGGGGGCAGGGTAAGGGAATATAACAGAGAAGGCAAAGGAGTCTATTGGCATTAAGCAGCAGGAGAGTATTGTTATCCTGTAATAAACATTCATTACTATATTAATAATTACCACTATAAAAAAATGTAACATTAAAAATGTTAATAGAATTATATTAACCTCATCATGCCTGCGCCTCGCGGCCCTTTAAGGGGTTTCAGACGCCGGGGGGGCTGGGGTTTAGGGTCATGTGACCCCTCGTCATTCGCTGTCACGGCGGTCACATGATCGGAAAAGGTCCCGATCGCAAGGGGAGATTGGGACCTTTCCGTGAGACACCGACATATGTGCTGGGAGCGCGCTCTCAGCACATACGTGTTTCCAAATGGTATGCAAATATGCGGCCGCTCGGCATCAAGGCCCAGCTGCTGAGAGGACGCATATTTGCGTACTGTTGACGTCAAAGGGTTAAAATATAATATAAACATTTATAATTTTAGAATATAAATTTATAATTATTAAAGTGGAGTTTCACACTCTCAATCAACATTGACTATTTTAATCCTTATGCTGCTAACATTAGTAATAGATAGGAAAGAATATATTTACTGGATTTAAAACTTTTCTTTACATTTCTTCAGTTCCTTCCTGGTTTCAAGGCCTAGGCAAATGATGTCATACATCCCAGAAGTCCTCAGGAGGGGAAGGGGTACGGTTAAGCACATCCTCCTCCCTGCCTGAGCTAAAAGCCAATGATTTCCAGGAAGTATATGTTAAATGAATCATCTGCACTTAATCAAGATGGCCACAGCTAGAAATACTAGGGGGGATGTTTTCAAAGAGATTTTTCAGCAAAATAAAGCATTGAGACATGAATGGATGGGGAGTTTGCTTTGAATAATAAAAATTAATTAAATAGCATTTTTTTTGTTTGTGGTGCTCAGATTCAGTGTAGTTCCACTTAGACTAGATTTTTGTGCTGACTAGCTAGTTTCAACAATTCATGTTAACACTGAAAAAAAATGTTCAATAAAAACTATTGGAATATAAAACTGAAGATTTTGCTGAATACATTTGCACATATACAGTGGGGCAAAAAAGTATTTAGTCAGCCACCAATTGTGTAAGTTCTCCCACTTAAAAAGATGAGAGAGGCCTGTAATTGGCATCATAGGTAGACCTCAACTATGAGAGACAAAATGAGAAAACAAATCCAGACAATCACATTGGCTGATTTGGAAAGAATTTATTTGCAAATTATGGTGGAAAATAAGTATTTGGTGAATATCAAAAGTTCATCTCAATACTTTGTTATATATCCTTTGTTGGCAATGACAGAGGTCAAACGTTTCCTTTAAGTCTTCACAAGGTTGGCACACACTGTTGCTGGTATGTTGGCCCATTCCTCCATGCAGATCTCCTCTAGAGCAGTGATGTTTTGGGGCTGTCGCTGGGCAACACGGACTTTCAACTCCCTCCAAAGGTTTTCTATGGGGTTGAGATCTGGAGACTGGCTAGGCCACTCCAGGACCTTGAAATGCTTCTTACAAAGCCACTCCTTCGTATGGTATGTTTGGGATCATTGTCATGTTGGAAGACCCAGCCACGTTTCATCTTCAATGCCCTTGCTGATGGAAGGAGGTTTGCACTCAAAATCTCACAATACATGGCCCCATTCATTCTGTCCTGTACATGGATCAGTCGTCCTGGTCCCTTTGCGGAGAAACAGCCCCAAAGCATGATGTTGCCACCCCCATGCTTCACAGTAGGTATGGTGTTCTTTGGATGCAACTCAGCATTCTCTCTCCTCCAAACACGACGAGTTGTGTTTCTACCAAACAGTTCTATTTTGGTTTCATCTGACCATGAGACATTCTCCCAATCCTCTTCTGGATCATCCAAATGCTCTCTAGCAAACTTCAGACGGGCCCGGACATGTACTGGCTTAAGCAGGGGGACATGTCTGGCACTGCAGGTACTGAGTCCCTGGCGGCGTAGTGTGTTACTGATGGTAGCCTTTGTTACGTTGGTCCCAGCTCTCTGCAGGTCATTAACTAGGTCCCCCCCGTGTGGTCCTGGGATTTTTGCTCACCGTTCTTGTGATCATTTTGACCCCACGGGGTGAGATCTTGTGTGGAGCCCCAGATTGAGGGAGATTAGCAGTTGTCTTGTATGTCTTCCATTTTCTAATTATTGCTCCCACAGTTGAATTGTTCACACCAAGCTGCTTGCCTATTGCAGATTCAGTCTTCCCAGCCTGGTGCAGGTCTACAACTTTGTTTCTGGTGTCCTTCGACAGCTCTTTGGTCTTCACCATAGTGGAGTTTGGAGTGTGACTGTTTGAGGTTGTAGACAGGTATCTTTTATACTGATAACAAGTTCAAACAGGTGCCATTGATACAGGTAATGAGTGCAGGACACAGGAGTCTCTTAAAGAAGAAGGTACAGGTCTGTGAGAGCCAGAAATATTGCTTGTTTGTAGGTGACCAAATACTTACTTGAAGATGAAACTTGGCTGGGTCTTCCAACATGACAATGATCCCAAACATACCATACGAAGGAGTGGCTTCGTAAGAAGCAGTTCAAGGTCCTGGAGTGGCCTAGCCAGTCTCCAGATCTCAACCCCATAGAAAACCTTTGGAGGGAGTCGAAAGTCCGTGTTGCCCAGTGACAGCCCCAAAACATCTCTGCTCTAGAGGAGATCTGCATGGAGGAATGGGCCAACATACCAGCAACAGTGTGTGCCAACCTTGTGAAGACTTAAAGGAAACGTTTGACCTCTGTCATTGCCAACAAAGGATATATAACAAAGTATTGAGATGAACTTTTGATATTCACCAAATACTTATTTTCCACCATAATTTGCAAATAAATTCTTTCCAAATCAGCCAATGTGATTGTCTGGATTTGTTTTCTCATTTTGTCTCTCATAGTTGAGGTCTACCTATGATGCCAATTACAGGCCTCTCTCATCTTTTTAAGTGGGAGAACTTGCACAATAGGTGGCTGACTAAATACTTTTTTGCCCCACTGTACATCAAGTGACACAGCTATTCAAGGGCATCTTTGTGAAGTGTGGTCGCTAACTCTAGCCAAACAGAGCTTCTGTCTTGAGACATAAGCAAGGAATAAATTGGGAGCGGCACTTTCTTCCATACAAGTGCAGAGACACATCAAAAGTCCAGCACAGCAGAATGCCAGCCCCCAGCGTATCTATCTGCATACATTCAATAAGTAAAATAAAAAGGTCAACCACTCAATTTACACCCAGAACTTCTGCAAATAGATACTAGCAGAACCACACTTCGCAGAGGTGCCTCGGAGTAGCAGTGTGGTTTTACAAATACTTACTATCCTGGTTCACACTGATGTGATGCAAGAAACACAGCAAATCCTGTGCATTTCCCACAATGCATTGCAATTGCATGGCATCCGTGTGATCTCCTGCGGGTATGTTAAATTAACACCCCAAAAATTAATGCAAAACACAGTGCGTTTACCAAAAACCAGAACACCCATGCGATGCGATTCAGGTGTGGACAAAAAAAGGTCCGTAACCATTTTGGTGCGGATGTGATTTGAGACATACAAAATGTATGGCTCAAATCACACCACACAGACATCGCATGTGACGTGCACAGGAATGCGGTGCAATTCCTGTGTGAATCACATGCAGTGTCCCACACCGCACAAGTGTGAACCTAGTCACAATGTATGCAACTGTTTTTTAAGAAGAATTGTTGAAACTGATTTCTTCTGGTGACTGTTAAAGTTGGCTGGACCATTAACAGATTTTCCTGATAATATACTGTATGAGGTTGTCAAGGTTAGATTTAACTCCTCACAGGTACAGAGTATATGAACACCCAAGTACCTTCTTTGGCTAGACAAAACGCATTGGAAACACAATTTAAACATTATTTGTGTTTTGATGATGGAAGACCTAGTCCAGGCAGCAATACACATCCAGACTTCCAATATTCAAAGACAAAAATGTGTTTTCCTACTACCTGGCCTGTGTGGGGCTGGGACACTGTTGACATCCACAGCAATCCAGCAGGAACACATGGGAAAAGCAGTGCACTTTCAAAGGATATGAGTGAATCTCCAGTAAATGGCCAAATTCTTAGTTGGTGGTCTACTGAAGTTCTCTTCTCTATCAAAACTGCAGGTTTTATTTTAGTTCTCCAAATGCACTGTGCATATCCACTCCCAATTTGCCCAAACATACAGTCTTTCCTGTAGTGATGGTATGTGGCCAGTGCAGCTGTAAATAGTGTGTAGAGGATTTGCTCTGTAAACATAGTCCACACTATTCATGTTGGAAATCTATACAGGGCTTAAAGTATGCCTAAAGCCAACATCATTTTTTTCTTTTTAATTTTTATATACATTAGGAGAGTTAAACCCCTGTCAGGTTCTACCACTGGGGATATTTTCATTTTCTGTCACAGAGACACAACAGAAAATGAGAGGAAATCCCCCCCCCTCCAAGTAATTGAAATACTATCTTAAACAGTTGTCATGAGATAAATGTGCCTGATGAAAGATTTCTCTTTTAACCTGTTCTGGGAAAAACTCAAAATTTGGAATTTGCCCCACTTCCAGTAGTCCCAATGACAGTGGCCACGAGGACCAATAAGGGGGCGGATCTCTGTAGCATGGAGACAAGATGACAATGTAGATGTGAAGTGTGAGGAATGCAAATATAAGTGGGGGGGGTTGACTTTTAGGGGCTTTGCCCATTCAGGAGAATGCGAGTCTCTATCTCATCCATTAAAAATGGAACCTGACCCTACACCCACCCACCTGTTTGTAGTTTAATATGATTCCCAGTCAAACTGACCAACAGGCAGGCTTAAGAGATAAATTCTGGAGGGCATTAAAAACCATTGAGAACTGCATAAAACTTTTAGTATAGGCTACATGTTCTTGTTCTGCATCTCACCCACTCAGTGTGACAGCAAATGGGGGTTCTTTTCTCTGCACACTGTCAGATTTTGAAAACAGTGCAGCTGTTCAGGGCTCTGCCAACACAGCTGCATTTTTGGTTCACAGGAATGTGTGAATGAAAAAACCACTGCGGCAGATGGACTTGTACTTTAAATGAACTGCGGGCATGCTGATCAGGGCTCTGCCTGCACAACCACATCATTCATTCACAGCCATTTGTAAATAAATTAACTGCACCATGGCAGATGGTCTCAGTAATGGAAAGCCCATACAGAGGAACAGGAACAGAGCTGTAGGAAGTGTCTGCAGGAGCATGATATTGCACCTGCAATCCACTGATCATGGGTGCAATGCTCTACAGGCTCCTGTGCAAAACAAAATAATAAATACACATTTTTACCTGCAAAAACATATGCATCTATTTTTTTTTTTTTTTTTTTGTTAAAAGTGAACTTAGCCTTTAAGCTGTGTATACATATCACTCCTACTCTCTCTCTCTCAGTAAACCTCCATTGCTTATGTATGAAAGATGACATATAACTTACATGGAGTTGAACATTCCCATCAAAGCTGTGAAACAAAATCCAATGGCAAACATGGACTTCATGCGGACCTATTAACGGGCATAAAATGTCAGAAACCTTTTGTGACTCATCTGCATCATAGTAAAGGTCATGCTACACACACAGAATATATACAGTATGTATGTGTGTATATATATCTATCTGCATACACACACACCAGTCATACCATTATGACCACTGACAGAAGGTGAATAACACTGATTATTTAGTTACAAAAAGGCACCTAAAAGTGGGTGGGTGGGATAGATTAGTCAAGAAGTAATTGCGTTGTCTCTGAAGTTGATGCGTTGAAAGCAAAATGGACAATTGTAGGAATTTGGGCAACTTTGACAAAGGCCAAATTGTAATGGCTATATGAGGAGGTCAGAGCATCTTCAAAACTGTAGTTCACGTGGGATGTTCTTTTGCAGACACTAAACTGCATGGTATTGCAGCACCATTTAATTTGGTACAGTTTGTTTTAAACTGCTTTCCGACTGTGCTATAGTTCAATGATGACTACAGCATGGTCATCCAGTTCTGGCAGGACATCTATTGACATCAACCCCGAACCTCACCCCCAGCGTGCCCCCGAGGCAAGCATCGGGTGGGCTACGTGATCGCTATTTCCAATCCCAGCAGCCCTTTACCATGTGATCAGCTGTATCCAATCACAGTGTAAATAGACTTGCTAGTTATCAGCAGTCTTTTCCTCACGCGCTGTGACAGCATGAGAAAAGGAAGGTCGGTAAACAGCAATTCACACAGGGGACATTTACACCAATAATCAGAGCATATATCATCAGTGCCCTGATTATCAGTGCAGCCGTGCAGTGCCCATCAGTGTAGCCTTGCAGTGCCCATCAGGGCAGACCAGTGTGCCGCCTATCAGTGCCCATCAGAAAAGAAGAAAACTTATTTGCAAAATTTTCTAACAGAAATGAAGAAAAAACATTTTGTTTTTTAAATCTGTGGGGGGGGGGGGGGGGGGGGTTGGTTTGTTTAGCAATAAATAAAACCCTTACTGGTGATTAAATACCAAAAAAAGAAAGCTCTATCTGTTCCAAAAAAATTATAAAAATTTAATTTGGGTACAGTGTTGCATGACTGCGCAATTGTCATTTAAAGTGCGACAGAGTTGAAAGCTGAAAATTAGCCTGTGCAGGAAGGGGGGTGAAAGTGCCCAGTAGGCAAGTGGTTAAAAGTAGTACAGTTGCTACTTCAAATGAATAGTCTGTCAAAATGCACAGTATGGGAACGCACACATTCTTGTGCAATCCCAGTGTGAACCGGCTAACAGGAAATGGCCTACGGCTGAACTAAAATTATTGTAATAGTCTTGCATTTCAAGCAACCACATATACTTTGGACAGTAGGTAATCTTTACTCCCATTTAGCCGCACGTTTACAACAGTCGTGCAAATGTATATTACATATCTTTGGCTGTTTCTGGAGATCCTCCCTTTGGCAAAACAATGAATCTTTACATTATTTTTTTTAATAGTGAGTTCCTGAGTGAAAACACAGAGGCTACGAATGTTAAACTTCCAATAATTCTAGTGGTCTGGCTGTTAGGATGACCCTCTCGATTTTGAGCCTTGAATTAACGATCTGGATGTACGTTAGTAAAGTCAAAGAAACGTCAAATCCTTATCCGCATTGTTTTGTGGGTCAAAATGAGAGCCAGGTGACTACGATTGATTTAATGTAAGAACAATTTTGGTTACTATAGGTCGAGTTAGTTATGATGGACATGGGATGTCAAAGTCCATAAAACGACATAAAAAAATTGCTGTTAAGGCCTCATGCACTCTGGGCATTTAGACCCAGTGCATGAGAGCCCAAGGTTTTGGTGCAGGCAGACACAGGTGCACTCCCCAGTCCCACTGCCATCAGCCGGTAAACCTCTGTGAAAAGGTTGAAGGCCATTATGGCTGAAAAGGTATGGGTGCTGCAACGAGTGGTACTAATGTTTAGGGCAGAGCATGCCCATAGCTTTAAGCCCAAAAACGTAAGCAGTCTGCATTTCGAGCAATCGTCCCCGAGTTCATACCGCCCTAAATGTTGGTACTACTTGGTGCATCGTCGTCCAACTGTTGCAGTCATCATCTTCTCAGTTTTACAGGCTGTCAGCATCAGAGCTGCATAACCTTTAGCCCACACTAAAAAGCTGCGATTTCAAGTGTGGAAGGATATGTCCACTCATTCTGAATACTATCTTGTGCTTGAAACTACCTTCTTTTTTCTTTATGTTTATTGTGAAAAATATGCAACTATGTAGAAATGTGTTATCTTGTAGTTAGTCTTTGTCCTTGCAGGTGAGTAAAGATTATGTAAAAATATCATGTAACAGTAGGCAGTGCCTTCAGTCAAGGATAGCTAAACCACTGAAAGTTACAGTAGACTGAGATAAAAAGACACCTGCAAAAGGAACATGTATGAGTAACAGGCACACGATTAAGGCTTGGCACAAGCCTTTTGTGATAAAGTTATGGACCTTGGAGAAACAACTACAGCCAAAACGTTTTTCAGTTTTAGATAGAGCAGGAAAGGATTAAGACCCCCTTTAAATTTTCACTGCTTTCTGTGGGCCCCGTGAAAGATTCTCCATCACTTCCTGTGCCAGTGGCTATGTGTCCCTAAAACAATAAAATAGAGCAGACATACAATAAAGAATAGAGGAATGCTATTTTTTTTTTTTTATTATTGTCTGTGACCTACTGGAGATTTCCTTCACTACCTGTGGAGTGACAATATGGTCAACGGGACAGAAGAAAGGAGAATTTGCCCAATGAGGTCACAGACAGCAATAACATAGGTTTGTATCCATCCCCTCTCTATTCATAAACTAAACAAAAGAAAAAAAACACAAAAAAGGTTTTGTCAGGAGTGAGACTAATGGAGACCAGACAAGCTTTCCGACTGCTAGCAAAAGACTTGTCTGTATTTGTGGCATACAGATAAACTGCAGAAGACATTTCTATCATATTTTGTACACACACACACCTTCTCCTTTAACTGCTATACTCCATTGGGTTACAATATTACTTACCATGGATAGATCACGGTTATTATTTTTCAGCTTCTCTTCCTGACGTTCTGCAAAAATGACAAACATATTTCTGTCAGATGCATATGAAAAATATCTGATTAATAAATGCCTCAACATGCGGGAAAAACAGAGGCAGGTTGAAGCTTGGGCACTTATTCACACAGGCAACAGTACAGAACTATTACATGAACAACAACATAATTATACTTTTTCTTAATTTAGTAAAGATTTACCTAGTCTACTGCATTGGGGGAATTTTTCCTATGAAAGAAATAATGGCTAAAAATCTAGACAATGGAAGGATTCATTAAGCCAGATGCCATGGTGCTGATTTACTAAAGACAAAAAAGCTGTTTGCTTTGCAAAGGAATTTTCCCTTAGCTTAGGGAACTGAAAAATCACTTCACAAAGAACATTCAATCATGTGCAAGGAAAATGAGAAAAACAGTATTTTGTTTTACACCTGAATAAATGATAGAAGTCTGCAGAGACTCACCTCAAGCACTAAGCAAAGAGAAAATTCCTCTGCAAAGTGAACAGTCTATTTGCATTTAGTATATCAACCCCCATGTCTCTATACTGAAACACTGGTAAATGAACCAACTTTTAGGAATGTTTAAAAAGCAATAGAAAATAAGCAGAATAAAGCATCTGTGGAATTTACGTTCATATTAGAGAGCAATAAAAAACCATTCCAGAAGGGAAAAAAAAAATAAAATCAAAATTAGCCCTAGCATCCGCTATGTTTTTTTCATGTTAAGTGTATGCATACCCTTACAGCGATCGCAGTACTCCAGAAAATACCTTAATTTCCATTTCTCTCCTGAAGGACACACCATCTTTGTTCACATATTACCAAGGACAGCATACGCTGCCACTGAGAAGCGGTCTTAAAAATGATACAATTGTGCAATTCTGTGCTGTGTTCACAAGTGCCTGACAAAGATCGGCCCCCTGCAGTTGCCACCCTTCACCATGTGTCTTGCTACAAACTTAAAGTATTGCAGCCTGGTCACTGGGCAAAGCCACCTGACAGGAGCCTAAAGGGATGGCTTGATGATTTTAAAAGTTTTGTTTACATACAGTTGCTGTATGTAAACAATGTCAAGTGACATGTCAAGATATTTTTCATGAGCACATTGAAAAGCTGGGGGCAAAGTTACTTATATCCAGCCAGGAAATCAAAACCTGAAAAATGTTATAAAGTTTACAGATACAAGGCCTCGATAAACAGTATGTTTTTGGGTTTTTTTTTTTAACAGTGTTTTTTTGAATAAGGAATCTTGTAATAAAGCAGAACTTCACCCTGATTGTGAAGGTTCCTCCTCTACACGTGAAATGCACTTTTTCCCCCCTTCCTTTACGCTTTTTTTCTTAAAACATTCTGTCCCACCCCTTATGCCAGTCATTTGCCTAGACGAATGACACGCATTATGCTTGTATGGCTCCTGGGATATGCATGTCACATATCCCAGGAGGCATAGTGCTTCATAGAGAAAGGAGTGGGGGGGGGGGGGGCACGCTTAGCGACGCTCATTCTAAGGCCCAGCAGCTAAATCCGGAAGAGCTAGCAGGCCTCGGGATGATGTCATTTAAAAAAATAGTCGCGCAGGACCAAAATGTAGACAGGATTTGCAGGACACCACTGGATCGCTGGGTGGGTATTGAAATATTCAGGACTCATAACTAGGTATTCAGGGATTAAAAAAAAAAAAAAAAAAAAAAAAAAAAAAAAAAAAAAGGAGGGGAGGGCTGGAGAACCACTTTAACTCATAAGCACAGCATGGAAACAGTTATGCATGAACTATACAATAGTTTGCGGATAAACCTGTATTAATTGGCGTTATAACAGTAGGTGGTAGAGTGCCCCTAAATAGCAGTTATCAGAGGAGCAAAAAAAAAAAAACGTTTTATTCATCCTGTGTAAATTCTGCAATAACATTTGTGAAATGCAGCTTGCAGATACTTGATAGTGCAGGCACAATCTGGCTCCCATCAATGCGGTAAATCTCCAAGTGCTGTATGGCTCTTCAAGGGCTACTATGCCAATAGAGAAAGTTAATGTCAGTTTAAAAGAAAAGAGTGGAAATGTTGCTGGTGGAGCAGTAGCAATCAAAACACATTGGGGGTTATTTAATAAAACTGCACGGTGCAAAATCTGGTGCAGCTCTGCATAGAAACCAATCAGCTTCCAGGTTTTATTGTCAAAGCTTAATTGAACAAGTTGAAGTTAAAAGCTGTTTGGCTGCCATACACAGCTGCACCAGAGTGCTCCAGTGTTCGTAAATCTCCCTCAAGATTTCTACTTTAAAGCCTGTTAAACTACACAAATAACCACTTCAGCTGCAGAAGATTTTACCCCCTTCATGACCAGGCCTTTTTTTTGCTGTACTGCACTGTGCTACTTTAACTGGTAATTGCACGGTCATGCAATGCTGTACCCAAACGAAATTTATATATTTTTTTTCAAACAAATATAGCTCTCTTCATTTTATTTGATCACCACAGGGTTTTTTCTGCAATATAAACAAAAAAAAAAGGCTTAAAATTTTGAAAAATATTAATATATTTTGTACTTTCTGCTATAAAACGTATTCAACAAAAAAAATAAAAAAAATCTAATTTCTTTATAAATTTTTGACAAAATATATTCTGCTACATGTGCGATACAAAATCCCAATAAGTGTATATTGATTGGTTTGCGTTAAAGTTGTAGTGCCTACAAATTATGGGATATATACTGGCTTTTTTTTTTAATACTTCAAATGGCAGCATCAGCGATTAATAATGGGCTGTGGGAGTGTGGCGGGCAATCTAACACTGACATCACCAGTGACATTAATACAGTGATCAGTGATAATACTATACACTGTCACTGTACTAATAACACTGGCTCGAAAGAGATTAACATCTAGGGTGATCAGAGGTTAAATGTGTGCACAACAATGTACAATTAGTGTAAACTGTGCTTCTTTTACTAAGATATATCAATTTCTCATCCCTGCTTAGCAGGGATGAGAAACTGACATTTCTCCCTGTGTTCAGAGCTCTGTGTTGAATGTCAAGGAAGAACTCTGGGCTGCGATCACACACAGACCATCACAGCAGGTCCCGAACGTGAACCATTGGCCAAGACTTGCTGACAGAGAGATACCAGCTGTGTACAATCACAGTGGGTGAAGGCGGGAAGGGAGTACCTGAAACCTAGAAGTAGGCAGCAACATACCTGTATGACGCTTTGCCTAAAGCAGCCGCCTGTCCGCACTGCAATGTGGAAGGGCGGTCATAAATTGGATAAATAGTACAGTAAATAGCAAAATAGGTACCAAAGCAAAGTTAAAACAAGAAAAGTTCCTCAAAGAAATCAAAATCTGAACAAGTTTCTTATAGGCCACTAGAAGATACAATTACCTATTTTTTTCTTTTGTGTGCGTCCAGCAGATTCTGTTATAGCTTCCTTTTTCTTTTCCACTAAAAATAAATAAAAAACACAGAAAGCGAAGTTTAGCCCTAAAATGTTATCATTAACCACAATTCATCACAGTTTTAGTGTCACAGTATTTCTTGTAAAAAAAAAAAAAAAAAAAAAAAAAAAAAAGAAGAAGAGAGGAGATAATAAGTCTAACAATCTCACCTATGCAGTTAGTATTTGGGTTCACATAGATGGATGATTAGAGTCCGTCCAAGCTGATGGTGTTTCACAAATTATACAGGTTGCATCAGAAAGTGCTTTTTAATGTGTTTTAAACAGAACTTGGAAGATGGGTCTCTGAATGTCCAACTACAAGGTGGTAGCAAAAAGTTTAGAGACTAGTTTTGTAATACGCTAACAGATGGCCGCACAAGGCTGCACCCACAGTCACAGGGAGCACCAACCTTCATATGTCAGTGTGCCAAAGAAATTATCCTGTGTACATCAGGTGCTGTGCAACTGGTGCTATTCTGACCATGTGCATTGCCAAATCTGCTACTTAATCATGGACAGCAAGATAGAACAAAGAGCAAACATGAAATTCTGCATGAAACTGGGTAAATCTGCCACAGAGACATGTGACATGATACAGCAAGTTTACAGCAATGCTGCAATGAGTCAATTGAGATGTTTTGAGTGGCACGCACACTTCAAGAGAGGAAGAACATCACTGGAAGACGACGAGAGATCAGGAAGACTTCCAATGAGCTCAACCCACAAAAAACGTTGAAACCATTCGGCAACTTCTGCACTGATTGTCAGAGAACAATCCACAACATTGCTGCCCTTGTCAGTGTGTCATTTGGAGCAGACAATGCAATCCTCACGTGTGATTTGAACATGTACAATGTTGCTGCTAAGTTCGTCCCCTGCCAAGAACTCAGTCAGCATGCCGTGGATGACCCATCGGTCTTTCATGTCGAGGTTCATTACCGGTGATGAAACTTGGGTGTATGGGTTTCACGAGGAATTTCACATTTTCTCTTTGTTCTAACTTGCTGTGCATGATAAAATAGCAGACGTGGTAACACGCAAGGCCAGAATAGCACCAGTTGCACAGCTAGTAATGTACACAGGATAATGTTTTTTTGGCACACTAACTTACTAACTAGAAGGTCGGTGCACCCTGTGACTGTGCGTGCAGCCTTTTGCTGTCATCTGTTGAAATTTTACAAAACCAGTCTCAAAACTTTGATACCACCTCATACAAGACACATGACGCCAGGGGATAATTCATACTAGAATTTATTTTTTGTAAATAAAAATATCAGTCTACAGGATAACTCTTTGAAAGAGCTTTTATCTGAGACTTCAAAAGACAGTTCATTATGACTGATTGTGTTAATGTTACAGAATTAAAACAACTTAACAAGTCACAATAAGTGCTATATGTACAAAATATGTATAAAAACAATATTGGGAATCAGGGATCTCAGGCTTGCAAAACTGTTCTCATTTGATATTTTTGAATGACATTTAAATGCTATCGTCACTGCAATACTTTAAACCAACCTGTGGGCTCCTGCGATGTCAGAATAAATCAGCAGCATATCAAGAAAGGTTTTTCAACATTCTCATTTGAGTGAATTTTATCTAATGATCTACGCCTGTTGAATGCAGACAGCCATACATGGATCGAAATAGTTTGGTCCCTGCTGAACCAGACGAATTTTGATCCATCTATGGCCAGCTTCAGGCAGGAATCACATCTGAGTGGTGAGGTAATATGCACTTTTTACTTTGCAGTACTTTAAATTTAGAGGAACACAAACAGAGTGCAATTCCATTGGTCCAACTCCTGTGCTTGTGGAGAGCTGAGAAAAAATAATGCTGATGGTGCATTATATCCTGTGCTGTGGTGCTTGTGTAGCCCATTCAAATGAATGAGCCGCCTAACTGAAACACAGCAGCAACAGAATAGACCCTTAAAGCCCAATTCCAAGTGAAAAAAAAAAAACACCTCTCCCCATTCCTTGTTGTGGGCACTCTCTTGCCATTCTCAGGTACAATACAGGACTACTGGCCTTGCATTGTACTCGGTGAAATCAGCTTGCAATCGCTGGTCACAGCGACTGAGGAAAAGGCTTCCGGGGACTGATCACACAGAAGGAGGAAGCCTGCCTGAGCAAGGAATTAGGTAAGTATTACATGCCACTAGACATAACAAGCGGTTACCCTTGCAGTGTGCACGGCTCCACTGTAAGGGTAGTTTTTATTCTTTTTTTTTTGTGGGGGGGGGGGTTAAAGCAGAAAATATATAAAAACTATAGATGTCCTTTTATTCCCTCCTATGGAGAGACTCTCTGTTCTGCATTCCAACACCAGACACTTTATCCTTCGGAACTGATATGAAGCCTTTCCAAGGAGAACAAAACGCATATCTTTAGTAGAGTGTGGGAGGGATTACAGAAAAATAGGGAAAATCCCCCAAAAGGGTTCTCAGACAAAAATCATAATGTGAGACTAATTTCAACTTTTCCCCAACACTATGCAAAACTAAACCAAACAAAAAGCTTTTAAGAACTTACATTTTTTTACTTTGCTTCTCAACTTCAGCTTTTAATCTCTTGTACTTGTCCGTTCTGTAAACTAACACCCATGTTATACCTAGGAGTCAAAACACAAAATAATAGTGGATAAATCAAACAATATACTGCAGACAGAGGAGTACCAATCTGAACTATGTAATCTTACAGACCAGCACAGAGCCCACACCAGTGAAAGCAGCAAGTAGGGGGAGGACAAGACACCAGTATAGAGGGTGAAGGACAGGCCAGCTGCATGGAGAAATCAATTCACGCTCTCCCACAGCAAACACGTGGGGTCCATGCACATAAACCCTTAAAGTGGTTCTAAAGGCAAGATTTTACCCTAAATCCATTCCCTGCATTAAGGTAAAAAAAAAAAAAAAAAAAGTATCAGTAGCTGTACTGCCCCCTCACCTCCCTCTATACAGTTAGGTCCATATATATTTGGACACAGGCACAATTTTAGTTTTTTTCAGGTATTTACCAAAACATATTCAATCTATAGTTATATAAAGGATATGGGCTGAAAGTGCACACTCTCAGGTTTAATTTGAGGGTATGTACATCCAAATTGGAGGAAGCGTTTAGGAATTACAGCTCTTAAGAGCAGCCATCTCCCCCTTTTTCAAGGGGCCAAAAGTAATTGGACAATTGAATCAAAAGCTGTTTCATGGCCAGGTGTGGGCTACTCCTTTGTTATTTCTTCATCAATTAAGCAGGTAAAAGGTCTGGAGTTGACTAAGTGTGGTATTTGCATTTGGAATCTATTGCTGTGAACCTACATCATGCGCTCAAAGGAGCTGTCCATGCAAGTGAAACATGCCATTGTAAGACTTCAAAAATTAAACAAATCAATCAGAGAGATAGCAGCAACATTAGGATTGGCCAAATCAATATTTTGGTACATTAGAGGAAAGAAGAATGCACTGGTGAGCTCAGCAATATAAAAAGGCATGGACGTCCACAGAAAACAACAGTGGTGGATGATCGCAGGATCCTCTCTATGGTAAAGAGAACCAGAGCTAGACTTACCAGTAACTCCTTTTCTATGAGTCTTCCAGGGCAGCCTCCTTGGATAGTGTTCCTCCCTCCGTGACAGGAAACACATAAGCACAGAACTTTAAAAGGCGGACCTCCGGGCTTCCCTTTTTTTACTCAAGTACCGCAGGAAGACACTAAAAGAAATAAACATTTATGCATAAACATACATTACTGTACAATCTAAGGGTAGGAAATCCCAGCTGTCCTGGAAGACTCATAGAAAAGGAGTTACCAGTAAGTCTAACTCTGGTTTTCTCCAAACATCTTCCAGGACAGCCTCCTTGAGATGATAATCAAGAACCTACCCACTAGGGTGGGGCTACTGCCTGGAGGACTTTGCTCCCAAATTCCTGATCCTTGTTAGAGAGAAGATCCAAGCGATAATGCTGCACAAAAGGTTGAAAAGCTGGACCAGGTGGCCACCTTACAGATCTGTTCTAGCGAGGCACCGGCTCTCTCTGCCCAGGACCCTTCAAGGATCTGGTTGAGTGGGTATTAACAAACAGGGGTGGAATTTGTAATAAGCTATAGGATTCCGTAATAGCCATCCTAATCCATCTAGCTCTGGTGGATTTGGAACCCTTCCGTGCTCCTGCAAAAAGAACAAAAAGAATCCGAATTCCTGAATTCTCTGGATCTACTAAGATAGACCAAAAGGCTCCTAACATCCAATAAACAATCTTTCTTCCTCCCTGCTTGAGGGAGCAGAACAGAAGGTCGGCAAAAATATATCTTGAGACCTACAAAAGGAGGAGGAAACCTTGGGAAGAAATCCAGGATGTGTTTTGAGCACAATTCTATCCTCGAAAACTGCCAAAAAAGGGCTCCCTAATGGAAAGCGCCTGCAATTCACTCACCCTATGGACCAACATGATTGCTATCAAAAACAGTTTTTAGAGTTAAAAACTTAATTGAAGATTTCTCCAGAGGATCAAAGGGACAAAGGACCAAAGCTTTTAGAACCAAAGACAGATCCCAAACTGGACAAGACCTGACCGCCACCGGCCTGGACTTGGAAAAAGCCCTGAAAAAAATCTGTTAAAAAGGGATCTTGTCAGAGGGGGATCTGAACAAAAACACGAAGGGCCGAGGCCTACACCTTTAAAGTGCTAACCAAAAGGCCCTGATCTGCCCCATCCTGAAAGAAATTTAACACCACCGGGATATACAGAGTGCCCGCCCCTTAACCAACAACCAGGAGTTTAATTTTCTTCCAGACCTTAGCATAAATAGCTCTGGTAACTGGTTTGCCGCATTTCACTAAAGTCCTTATTACTCTGTCAGAAAACCCGTGAGCTTTCAGGAGTTGTTCTTCAGAAACCAAGCTGCCAACCTCAAGGTTCTGACTTGCGGGTGTAGCATAGGACCCTGAAGGAGGATCTGGTCTCTCTCTGGAAGGGGGAAGGGGGAACCGAGGCCAGGCTCCACAGCAGAAAAAACCATGACCTCTTCAGCCAGAACGGTGCCACCAGAATGTTTGTCTTTTCTAACAAACTTCTGCAGGACTGCTGGGATCAGCCTCACGGGAGGAAACGCATAACAAAGATTGAACTCCCAAGCGCTCGTGAAGGCATCCACACCCAGAGCCTGATCTCGAGGATTTAGGGAGAAGAACCGTCTGACTTTCTTGTTTTCCTGGGAAGCAGAGAGATCAGCCTCCGGCATGCCCCACCTGAGAGTGATGGTCATAAGCACTTTGTGGTTGAGAGACCATTCGTCATGTTTGACTGGATGTCGCCTTAGGAAGTCCGCTAGGGAATTCTGCACCCCTTTCAGATGAATGGCAGATATCGAAAACAAGTTCTGCTCGGTCCAAGATAGAATGCTGTCCGCGATGCTTGAAGAGGATGGCTTCGCGTACCCCTGGTTGTTGATATATGCCACCGCAGCCATATTGTCCGAACGGATCTGCAGGTGACAAGTCTAAAAGATCTGCCTGGAAGGCATCCAACGCTCGCTGGACTGCTAGAAGCTCTCTCTGATTCGAGGATCTCTGAGCTTCCCCCATGGACCACGACCCCTGGGCCGCTCTGTCACCTAGATGAGCTCCCCAACCAAAGCTGCTTACATCGGTCGTAATCATAACCAGACAAGGTCAGTTCCACTCCAGACCTTTGGCTAGATTGATTTGTTTCCGCCACCACCAAAGGGATCTCTTGACCCTGGACGAGGCCGGACTGCCAGATCTAAAGTAGATCTGTCCCCATTCCAAACCCTCAGAAGAAAGGCCTGCAGGGGCTGCTGGTGGAGTCTCGCCCAGGGGACAGCTGTGAAACATGAAGTCATGAGACCCACTGCCCTCATGATATCCCTTATTGTCGTGGATAGATTGCTCTGCAATCCTGCCAGCACCTGACCTATCTCGTACCCAAGATTGGTAACTCTATGGGAGGGAGTTAAACATGACTTGTCCCTGTTTATGAGCCACCCCAGACTCAGAAGGAGGTCCTGAGCAACCTGCAGATCCTCTGTCAACTGTTGGTGAGACCTGGCCACTAAGAGGAAATCGTCCAGATAGGGAATGATGGTAATAGACCTCATTCTTAGGGGAGCTAAGGCCACCGCGAGCACCTTCGTAAAAATTCTTGGTGCTGAGGCCAGACCAAAAAGGTAGAGCCCGACACTGCCAGTGGTGGATCTCTGAACCCATCCTTACTGCTATTCTTAGGTATTTCTGACACGATGAATGGGAATGTGAAGCTACGCATATCTCAGATCCAGCGTAGCCATGAAACAATCTGAGTAAAGGATGTTTCTTACAGAGAAGATAGATTCCATCCTGAAGTGTTTATACCTTAGACTGATTGAGGGGGCATAGGTTTAGGATAAGACAAAACCTGCCCGAGGGCTTTTTGACAACAAAAACATGAGAATAACACCCCCTCCTCGTTCCAGGGAACTCGAGTAAGGATCTGCTGATTTACCAGGTCTCCAATTAGGCCACACAGAGCCTGTGCCTTTTCTCAATTCTTGGGAAGATTTGTTACCAGATACCTGGCGGGGGGACTGGAGTCGAAATCCAACCTGTACCCTTTTCCTATCAAGCAGGGACCTCCAGGCAGCAAGTTTTAAAATCCTTTCCTTTGCTGTTTAAAGCGATAGGTTTCCTCGCTGCGGACTTTTCTTTGACCCGAATCAGTTAAGGTACCCGCGAGAACCTCTGCCCTAGTGAGTTCAGCTAGAAGGGTATTATGGTTAAAGACCTGGGCAGGGGACTCAGCATCCAAGCTGCGCCTTTGTGCCTTACTCTTTACTGGCGATAACCTTTTCAGTCCGCGAGGAAACCTATCGCTTTAAACAGCAAAGGAAAGGATTTTAAAACTTGCTGCCTGGAGGTCCCTGCCGTGATATGCGACTAACTGGGTAAGCCAGCATTCCAACTTTCTGGCGACACAGGTGGCCGATAAAGCCGGCCTAAAGCTGATAGAGGTGGAATCCCAGGCCCTCTGGTGTAAGATTTCACCTTTTATACATAGGATTCTTTAGGTTTCCCATATATTCAAATGCTAGGTCTGTCTTTGTTGAGACTTTAGATAAGGGGGCGTCCTACTTTGGAATCTTGTTCCATGGCTGGGATCCGCTATCCTCAAAAGGAAATCTCCTTTTAAGATTACCAGAAAAAAGGGTTTCCTTTCAGGGTTTTCCCATTCCAGCTTAATGGTATCAACCAGGGGACAGGAAAGACTCTAGTCTTTTTAGCATGTAGACCCTGATATAATAGGTCATGTTTAGACAGGCATACGTCCTCCACCTCGATCTCTAAGGTTTCGTAGATCCCTCCACATATAAAGTTCTTCCAAAAAACCCGACTCCTCAATATAAGAAAGATTTGACCAATTTGGTCAAAACAGGAAAAGAAATGAAAGTGTTGAATCAGAAGGAGGCCAAATTTTTAGTGCCGGAATCTTGTAGAATTCCCGTGATCTACACGATCCATAAGCTACATAAAGAGCAGGTGAACCCTCCCGGTCGTCCTATAGTGAATGGGATTGAGTCCATTTTAGCAAGATTGGGTAACTACATTGATATATTCCTCCA